TCATCCACTATGACACCTAGAAATTTAATTTCATATACTCGTTCTATACTGGCTCCCCCTATTTTCACTTGCAGTTCGTTATCTAGTCTGCGATTCCCAAATACCATAAATTTAGTTTTATCCATATTCATGGATAGCATATTACTATCACACCATTTCTTTATCTTCTCAAGTTCCTGTGAAACCCGTCCCGATAGTTGCTGTAGGTTATCCCCTGATGCCCATATCGTAGTGTCATCAGCAAATAAGACCATTTTGGAGTACTAAAAAGTGAAAACTGACAAAACATTCGAATAGTCAGGTCCAGCCCTGCAGTCCACACTTAAACTTGCAGTGCAAGTCCACTTTACAGTTCATTTTCCAATGTGGGACATATATGCCATACTATGCGTGTGCTTTACTCCACTTTCTGATGCACAGCTCGTTTAAAATTGCAGTAGTTGATTGTGGTAATAAGTCCAAACTCCTGAGGACGAGAGGATGCAGACAGACCACTGTGCTCTGAACAAGATGTAGCTGACTGCTAATATAGCCAGCTTAGGCAGATAATGAGCTCTCACTTCTCCAAAAATGTTGGAGCAAATTTCTAAATTACTTGAAGACTGACCACATAGTCTCAATCCAAGTAGTTACTTTGTCACCTGAAAAATGTCAAAACTTAATAAAATGGCATAATACCAGTCCTCCAGATGAAAATTATAACAGCTTTGAGCCTGGCTCAACACCTCTGCCATCAGGCTTTGGCCTGGCTGGCGCTGCAGAGAGTAGATCTTTCCCCAGCTCTGGGCTGTTGCCTCACAGGGCTCCCTCAGTCCTGGTCTCACACAGAGGGGGTCTACTGAGTGACAGCCTTCTGTTTCCATTGACAATAAATAGGCAGCTCTCACTCACCCAGGGCATCGTCTCCCTATGCGCTCAGAGTGCTCAGCGGCGCAACTGTGCACTTTGGCCGCAAGGAGGCTCACATAAAAAGGCCAGTCATTTTCAATATCAATAGCATCTTCAACAATCCCAATACAGAGACTAAAACCAACAATGTTCTGCCTCTACTGACTGTTAATGTCTGTCAGTCCTGGATTATTCATCGGTACAGTAGACCTCCAATGCTGCTCAAAAATGATTAAAAACACATCAGGGAAACACACTGGTTGACATGTTTCCTCACTAGAAAACTGATATTAGTTAAGAATATCCAGAGATCTAGTGCATGGACATTTGACTCCTGCTTAGTCTACTTCAGACACTGTAAAAACCTATGGCCATTTGAAGCCTTTGGGGGAACATTTTAGACAAAACGGGGACGTGGGGGGGGGGGGTCTATGCATCTTTCCATGTCATGTGCAGGTTGCGAAAACAAATCTCTCACAGATGAGAAAGGCCTCTTTATCCACCCCAGAGCTGAAGCCAAATTTTACAAGAAGAAATATGACATTAAACAAAACTTTCAATGTTTACAGGTATTATTACAAACTTAAAGTGACCAAATGAGTGGCTGACTGTTTTTCTCAGTAGGAAGTCCCAGGGTTTATGAAATCCATTATCAAAGTCTAGAGGACTGAAGCTGCCCTCTCCTTTGTCAAAAAGTCCTTCAACCAGATTGAAAGTGTTGTCTAAATCATTTCCATTTCATCAATATCAAATCTGCATCTTCATTAAATCAGTAAACAGTTTCTTATAAATTCTGAATGATAGTTTTTCAAAATTTCCTAATGTCCATGACATCTTTAAATTGTACTGTTAGCTGGTTGAAAACAGAAGATATTAGATTTACAATATGAAACAATGAGATATATGACAGGGTGGAAGCATACATGTATTGCATGCATGCTTGATAAATAATTTAAATCATTAAACAATTCTAATAGCTGTCAATGGCTAAACAATCAGCTTCCCAATAATGAAACGAACATACATAGCTGAGAGACTGAACAGCAGGCACATTAAACCTTACTTTAAGACCAAAGGAACCAGGCCATGAAGACAAGCAGTATAAAAAAATAAATAAATCAACATGCTGACATACTTTAACATTAGGTAGGCAACTATCTGCATCTCCCAAGTAAGGCTTCTGAGAGCATGCTCTTGTTTCTAACACACCGTTGTACACTGCATTAGACACTGAAACGTAGATGTATGTATATTTGCAGTGAAATTTGCAAAAAAATAAGAGCATGAGTGAAAAAAGCTTTCATTGCAAAAAGGAGAATAAGGACAGAAGGAGGTCCCATGTCTGGATTTACCCAGTGTTTCTCTCACTTTACTGAATCCAACATCATCATAACACCCTGGCACAGCAGCCGAATAACAACACACTGAAAGACAAGCCTGGCAGATGCAGCAACATCTGGCTTCACAACATCATCTGTAGTAGTCAAAGTCACAGAAACAGTACAAACACCCATTAAGTCTACTAGGCCAGCAGCTAAGAATTACTTTCATTGACATAAGCCTATTTTCAGTTGATTAATATATAATTTAGATCTACAAAGTGTCAGAAAATTATGAATAAAAGCCCATCACAGCCTCCCAGAGCCAAAATCTCATTTTCTGTCTCACTAAAAGGGCAAAACGCAAAGACATTCAGTTCACAATAATTTCAAAACACAAAAAGGAAGAAAATCGTCACATTTGAGAAGTCGCACCCAGATAATATTTGGTGGTGCTTAAACTACCATAATCACTCATTTCCTG